TCCAAAAGCCACAGAAAAACCCTGTCTTGAAAAACCAAAAAAAAAAAAAAAAAAAAAAANNCAAAACCCACCAAAAAAAAAAAAAAAAAAAAAAAAAAAAAAAAAAAAAAAGAAAATAAGCAAAAAACTGTTATATTTGACAGCCACTAAGTCACCTCAGTGGAGAATGAGAGCATAATGCCCAGTTTCTAGGCACTGGCCAATTGAAAGGCCCAGGACCCTCTGATGGAAAGGAATGTGAGGTGAGGTCACCCAGGGTACAGCACAAACCCTCCAGGCCATCACCAAACAAACCTGTTGCCATTGATTAGACAGAGAGAGCAAGAAGGCGGACTACTCAGAACTTCAAGGATTACGAACCAACAGCCTTGGATCAGCTCTAGGTCCCCCACATCCCCACAACAATTAGCGGAAGAATCAAACGTGAGCTCAAATTCGAAGTGGTCCTGTGTGATGTGCTGGTACTAACTGGTTGAAAACACTTTATCTTGAGCGTTCTATCCCAGTTAGGGATGACCCCACGGAATAGCACTTCAGGAAGGTCCTCCCAGAGAGCAGGACTTTGACAATTTATTTGGTGACTCACTTGCTCTGGAATGTGAAATGACCCAAACTCTGACTTTCTGCTAACTTGCAGCCGGCCGAGCGCTTACAGTTTGGCTGGGTGACAGGCACTCTGATGGGTGAGGATCAGACGAGGAGGGTCAAAGGGTCAAAGAACCTGGGAAGATGTATGTAGAGACCTTCCACCCCAGGGAGACCGTGTCCCATGTGGAAGGCTCAGAGGGTATCCATGGCAGGGGAGGGTCCAGGCATCCAGTGAGAGTATATGACAAGCTCTGCAGGTGTCACCCAGGCTCTTTCCCAGCGGTCCCATGCTCCATGGGCCTGAAAACAGAGTGGCCGCGATAGCAAGGCTGGGGACCACAGACAGGGTTACTAAATGCAACTTTCATGTAAAGGGCTGAACCGTCCGCTGGTCCTGGTGAATACATCTATCGAGTCTGCTAATGGATTTTGAGCCCAACCGTCACCATTCCCCAGGGGACATGTAAAGGGCACTGGGCACGGGGGGAGGAATTTATCTTCACCAACACAAACACAGCTCCTTGACAGGATTGTGCTGCCGACATTCTTCGTCCCCTGCCTTGCCGAATGCCTCATCCACCGTCTTAGTATTCCACGGCCGGCTGCTGCTGACGGAAACCACTCACAGCACAGGAAGTGAGGCAATTGTCTCATAGCAGTGGGATTAACTGAGCCAAACTCACCATGCACCACACAGCCCTCCCCTCAAGCAGCAAAGTGGAGCGGCTGGCTCACGGCAGACTCTGTTACAGGGCCAGCTGAGGAGCAACAGCTACAGGCGATTCTGGCTCGTCTACGGGAAGAACTAGATACGCTTTGTTTCAACCACTGCCTCCTCTAGACACATGGGTTTGGACTGAAGGGGAGGGTGGTTCCTATCTCTGTGATGCTCAATGACCCACTCATTTTGGGGAAGCGAGGAGAACTTCACTTGTGCAAAGGACAGCTGATCTCCACAGGCGAAGGCGTAGACCTGTGTCACTGGTGTGTGGCAGTCCAAATGCACGCCTAGGGTGTGTGCAGAAGCAAAAGGCACAGCATTGCACCCAGCACCTTTTGCTCTGATTCATAATATCTCTATAGATAACTTTTCTCTGCCAGATGGCACCACGTCGGCCCGTGTCAATAAATGGTGCTGAAGACGCACGAGGCACAGGCAAAGGAAGAATATTTCTCGGGTGGTGGTTTTCCCTCCAGTGGCCTGCAACAGGTGCAAGAGCCGTGGTTACACACCCTTCGGTGAGTCTTATCAGCGCCTTGTGAAAAGCTTCTCCAAGGCTGGCTCCAGCTCCACCCCTCCAAGCAGGCAGCCTCCCACGTGGCAACGACAGCCTAGGAATTCAAAGGTATACCACAGCAAAGCCTCCCGCCACCCAGGGGGCTATACCACATCATCCTCCCAGATGAGACCCAGATTCCAGGATTGGGGCCGGGGCTTCCCCCACTGTACAGGTATCACTGTGCTCCCTCTGATTTTCCTAGGTGGTGAATATAGTGCTGTGTCTTTCTCCATACAGTCTTTCCTAAAATTATTTATTGTTTTAATGTATACGAGGGCTCTTTCTGCAAGTACGCCTGCACGCCAGAAGAGGGCATCAGATCTCATTACAGATGGCTGTGAGCCGCTGTGTGGTGGCTGGGAATTGAACTCAGGACCTCTGGAAGAGCAGCCAGTGTTCTTCACCACTGAGCCATCCCTCCAGCCCCATTGCAGTCTTTTAGTGGTTAACTATCTTGCGGTCTCCTAACTGGACCCTAATTGATGTAATCTACCATTTCTGTACTGAAGGGTCTATTATGTCATAGACCCTTGGACAGAATATACAATTGAGGCAGCATACACCCAACATTTAAGTACAGCTACTCCTAGGACTATTAGTTTTATAGTATTTGAAGGAAAAAACAGGAAAGGATATAATTCCTTGAATGAAAGATGAGAGAAAGCAAGTTCAAGTGATGTAAATACAAAAATGATGGTGAGCGATCATAATTACCACTAACGTCCGGGCTGAGCCGGACCATTAAGAGTTCTGTCACCATCAAGGAATCTCTGTCAATTACCTTCTGCAGCCCAATGCGTTTCCTGACACTGTAAAGTCATTGTATTCAGAACCTGCCCCTCTACACACGTGCTTGTGGCTCCCTGGGGTTCAAGTCCTCTGCAGCCAACATGTAAAAGATTTCCATTTTTGCCACCTGTTGGTTTTTTTCCAATCGGATTCTCTACGACAAAGTTGGAACAGAAAACTAGAGAGAAGGAAAGCACCTCAGAATATTAAGCTGGCCCGTGAGAGCCTGTGGCTAGTTCTCGCTCCCACGGCTAAATCCGTTAATGTTACTAAATTCAGCTCTCGCTCTAAAAGCACGTGATTCTGATCCCCTTAAAAACAACAGCCGAGGATGAGGAGTTCAAAACCATCTGCGACTCACATTGTGAATTGAGCGCTACATGAGACCCTGCCTCAAACTGTGATGAAATATAATCAATCTTAAGACCTACTAAATAGTCAAGTTCTCTGTCTCTGAAGGGGCAGACGCAGCAGCTGGCTGCAGATCACGTGCATTAGGGCTCAGAGTATCCTGACTATCACTATATAAAACACCAGAAAAACCTCTTGGGGTAGGTCTTCGGCCACAACAAAGATTTAGACGCTGGAGTCTGGTCATGTCTCTCCATTTACCACATGTACAGACATCCACCACCCTGGCTCTCCCTCCACAGTGTGAAGAACGACAGGCACATCACCCTGAGGCAGGGGAGGTCTTTATAGAACTTGATGTCTTCACATAACCTAGGAAGGAGGAGCATTGCCGCTATGAGGTGCCAGAAATGAGTCGCAAACATGGTTTAAATCTGCCTCATTCAGACACGCTCTCTGGGAAGAGCATCCCACCCAACAATGTGTTGTGGAAACCTGGAAATTATCAGCCAATTCTCATCATGCAATTAAGGGTGAACGTCACTATGCTTTATTATGAAGAACACAAATGAGGAAGTTTTAAAGTTTATTAGAAAGGAACTCCTGACATAACTTGTTTGGTTGTATAATGATATGTTATTTGTGTTTTAATAAATAAGGCTTGCCTGAAGACCAGCGAGCAAAGCAGCGATACCAGTCAGCCACACAGGCCAGGGAGTGGTGACACACCACAGACGGGTCTCTGCGAGTTCAAGGCCACCCTGGGCTACACAAGATCGAATCTGTCTAAAAGAGAAACAGAGCTCACACAAAGGTGATCCCAGCGCTTGGGATCCCATGTCTTTAATCTCTGCACTAGGGAGGTGGAGACAGGAGCGGTATGGCTGGGCGAAGAGAAGACTATAAGGAGAAGAGACAGGAACTCATTGGAGTGCGGAGTTTAAGGGTTCATGGAGACAGGTCTCGCTCCTTCGGTCTGAAAATTTGGTAGAGATAAAAGGTCTCTCTAGTGTCTGGCCGTTTTGCTTTTCTGATCTTTAGGTTGAACCCCAATGTCTGTCTCTGGGTTTTTATTATTCGTGCTACATGGTTGTGTTTTTGTTTTGTTTTGTTGTTTTGGCTGAGCTGTGGAACACAGGGCCTTGCATGTTCTCTCTTTTGACATTATTTTTAAAGTTTATTTTATTGTTACTATTATTGTTTTATTTATTTTTATTCTATCTATCTATCTATCTATCTATCTATCTATCTATCTATCTAGTATTTTGAGACAGGATTTCTCTGTGTATCACTGACTATCCTGGAGCTCACTCCGTAGACCAGGCTGGTCTCAAACTTAGAGATCCACCTTTGTCTGCCTCCTGAGTGTTGGGATTAAAGGCGTGCACCACCACCACGCGACTTAAGCTTATTTTTGTTTTAATTACATTCATTTACTTATGTGGGAGTGGATGGATGGATGGATGTGCACTGTGTGGGTGTACATGAGGCACAGCACACACGTAGAGGTCAAAGAACAACTTTGGGGAATTGGTCCTCTCCTTTCAGGGTGGGGGTTCTGGGACTGAACTGAGGCTGTCAGGCTGGGTGGAAGCACCTTTAGCCAGTGAGCCACTTCACCAACTCCATTCTTAAATTCAACTGAAACACTTCTCAATCTTTCAGATATATTTTATGGATAAATTTTAAAGGAACTAATCCTTTTCTTGATTTCACTGTCTGCATTACTAAGTACTAATGAAAATACGTCCTATTAAGTGACCTATAATCACAGACTAGAGATGCTCTTTCTGAAGTCTCTTAGACCTGCTGCTGCCTCCAGACAATCTTGCTTTCAGCAACAATCTCAGTAGAACCTCCAGGGGCTCAAGGTTTGGGACCCACTCTGCTTCCGTTTCAAGCAGGCCAGGAACCTAGAAGTTTTTTTGCAAACTCATCTGATTTATTTATTTATTTATTTATTTATTTATTTATTTATTTATATTTTTTTGAGACAGGGTTTCTCCGTAGCTCGTAGTCCTGGAACTAGCTCTTGTAGTCCAGGCTGGCCTTGAACTCACAGAGATCCGCCTGCCTCTGCCTCCCGAGTGCTCATCTGATTTTTTGAAGATCACTGATGCACTTTAGAGAGGTGGAGGATAGATGTGCCTGCACAGCACTGGTTTCCACCCGACCTAAACGATGGGCCAGCACGTATGCTGTGCACAGCGGTGGTGCCCTGTGCGCTTTCCCACAATTCCTATCACTTCTCATTGTGCAATGCTTGGCTGGTTTTATTCTTTTATACTGCCGTGTGGAGACGCTGGAGTTTATAGGCCTGATTAAGATCGAAATTCCAGTTCTTGGACTTCTCGGTGTTGCAATGTTTGTCCAATGGGGAATCTATTTTTTTTTTTAACGAAGATGAAAGTTACTGAAATTGAACTTGTGAACAGACATGCTAATACTTGTTTTCCTTTCGGGAAAGAGGAGAACACGGAGCTAGGAGATACACCTGAAGTTACTGTGCTTGCCCTTGGGTGAAGAAGACAAGAAGCAGGATGTGAGCACAGACACAAATGCATGATGGGAAACAACCAGGTGTGGAGGCGAGGACACCCAGAAGGGAGGGCAAACCTGGGACTCATGGCTGGAGGTCCTGACGAGGATGAAGCCTAGCTGCTGGGAGGGGGGGGGGTAGATAAAGGCAGCACGGGCTTCTCATAGAGTGGTGACAGCCATTCCAGCGAGTGGCTGAAGGCAAGTGGAGCTGCAGGGGACGGTGGCGAGAGTCTGCAGTGGGGCAGATACACAGAGGATGGTTACGTTCACTGGGGAGGGAGGGGGAACGGACGACAAAGAACGATCTCCGTACCGAAACCAAAGAAGGTGAGAATGTCTGCAAAATGAAGAAGTGAGGCTGTGTCAAAGCATTCAATAACTCTTGAGGCTAGCTGGAGATAGCTCAGTGGGTGAAGGTGCCTGCTGCCAAGCCTGGCAATCTGAGTTCGATCCCTGGGAAAGAACAAATAATCCCCACAAGCTGCCGTTTGATCTCCACTTGTATACCATGACATAACCACACCCACACCGTGACAAAGGGTGGTAAAAAACAAACAGACTTTTAAAGGGATTAATTTTTTGTCAGTTAACCACCTAACTCAGTCGGCCATGGCACCATTCCTTTTTATTGAGAGGTATATAAAGTCAACTTTGGCGAGACAGGAAACGCTGATCAAAATTCTACTTAGAAGGTCTAAGATCAAGTCATCTCTTGGACCTCACAGTGACAGAGCCAATCTGTTCCCAGAGCAGTTTTTAAATGTTCTCACTACAAATAAGTACACGAGGAAACACCTCCGCTAAATAGCTGGATTTAGCTCTATATAATAAACATATTTCAAAAGGGAGAGAATTGTACTTTAATTATCAACTAAAAACATAATAAAAATAATTTTGCTTCTGCTTAAAAATGGAAAGCATAGTAATTTTACTTATATCCTACTTTCTATCCAATTGAATTCTTAGCTAAGAGGAAGGAGGACGCTCCCACATTCCCCTGAAAAGACAGCCCATCCTCAAGGGATTTCCTAACCTGCTAGAGTAAAAGAAGCATCTGCTGAATCAAGTGTGGACCAAAGCTGCAAGGTAGATTTAATAATAATAATAATAATAATAATAATAATAATAATAATAAATCTCAAAGCCTGATTCCTGGAAAGTGTATTATAGGAAGATCTGCTAGGGAGCTGAAGGACCTGCATGGGTAGGCTCTGCAGGAAAAGGGGAGCTGGGGAAGGGAAGGCTCGTTGTGCCCAGATACAACCTCCAGCCTCTCTACACTCTTTTGTTTTGTTTTTCGAGACAGGGTTTTTCTATGTAGCCCTGATTGTCCTGGAATTTGCTTTGCAGACCAGGCTGGCCCTGAACCCACACCTGCCGGGATTAAAGGTGTGCACAGCCACCTCCCAGCTCCTCTGCACACTCTTGAGGCCTGAGGAGTCAGAGGAGTCAGACTCCAAGTTTCTGCTTCTTCCCTAAACTCTGAACAGGGAGACGATGGAGACTCTCTCCTCCTCTGTAGACCAGGCTTAAAGAAGCAGGTGTGTGCGCTTTTCTCTCTTTGTATTGGATTCTTCAAAAGGAAGATTTCTTCCTACTTACCTTGACAAGTGGTTGTGGGGAAACATTCCGAGCTTTTTCTGGGTTTGCTAAAATAAACACAGGGTGTGTGTGTGGGGGGGGGGTGCCATAATAAAGAAAAGAAACCGATCGAAGTACTATCCAAGTACTGCTTACACATTCTTTCTGTTTCACCAGCAGAGCAAATACAGAACCAGATGGGGCAATCCATAAACAAAGGCAAAACTCTGAAGCCTTGCTTGCTCGTGAGAGCACTGACTGTCCTAGCTGTGCTCCTCAAGGATCCTAAAAGAAGAGAAGCACCCAGCGTCCAGGCAGAATACTAGAGACAGACACATTTTTAAAAAATCCTCAGGGGAAGTAGAAAAAGACAAGATCTCCTGAGTCAATTGGTAACATGGGCACCTTGGGGAAGGGCTGGAGGGGGGAGGGGAGAGGCAGGGAGGGGAACAGAGAAAAATATAGAGCTCAATAAAAACCAATTAAAAAAATCAGGATTTCCCTGGCAATCAACTAAGACCTATAGACACTTTACGTGGAACTCGTGTTAACTTTCTACCATACGTGCAGGCCTTCATGATGGCAAAGAGACAGGAAGTCAGGGGAGGGGGGGGGAGGTCAGAACTCTGCCATCACTGACATCCAGGAGAGCTGAAGCAGGGAACACCCCAAGCGAGTAGTCTACTTTGAAGGCATTCCCTACCCAATGAGTGAGAACTAACGGGGATGAACTTCCCATCCGCACAGAACAGTAGAATTAATATAATTTCCTTTTGTGCTTTCTACCCCACCAGCCCTCAGTGTCCTCACTCTTGGGCATTTCCAGCCAGCTCTCCTGTTCTATCACACAGATGTGTGCCTGATTCTCAAGTAGAAGGAGACGCAATTTCCAGCAAACATGGGGCATGTATAGTTAAGGATGCTTAAAATAATCCAGTTTATAATACAAAATGCAGAAAGTAAAAGACAAAAATATCGTTTGCTGGTTAAAACGCATCCTTGAGATTATGGAGTTTTAGACTTTGGGGATACCACAGGACGACGTGATGTAAACAGCTTGCAACAGGAAAGATCCGCAGTAATGTGTGCTAACAAGCCACAGAGAACACTGGGTGTGTTCAGACGAGAACAGCGCTAACAGTTGTCCCATACAGGAGCACTGACCAGGTGCCAGGAACTACGTGCATGGACCCACACGGACTACTTCAACTGATCCCCACAGCATCTTTAGGAAGCCAACCCCATTATTATCTGCATTTTATAGCAGAGAAAACTAAGGCTTGCCTAACTTGTCTAGATGCCAAACAAGCTGGGGAACTGGGATTTGAATCTCCACGGACTGGGTGAAGCCAAAGCCTGAGCTCTTAAACACCACATTACACAGTGTCTCAGGAATCCAACAAAAGATGGAAGATACCTCTCAGAATATACACTTCATTTTAAAATATGCAAGTGGAAATCAATCTGTAGTTTTCATAAATATGTGTCGGCTATCTTTGCCAGTGGAGTAACTTCTCATTGTGAATATACAGACAAGGTTTGGTTGGGTTCACATTTCCTAGTTTCTCAATCACTACTTTGCTCTTAGTGACTACTGAGTCACTAAGAACTCATATCACACAAAACCTAGCATTTGGAGTTAGGGAAATCTTGTCTTTGGAGAGATTTTTTTTTTCAGTGCATGCACTTGTAACAGGTTTCTCAAGTCCAGTTCCGGAGGCCAGAGAGCCCTAACACTACCCTGCCCTAAGCTGACCCCACACCGTCCACTCTCATGGCTCCAGGGCCAATATCACTGTGCCTGTTTCTCCACGCTTGCATAACCACCACAAAAGTAGCTGGGCAGCCCTGGCGCTCTGCCCATTAATCCTTCTGTGGCCACACGTTTTTTCCAGCTGCTCCCAATCCTCCACCTTTCCATTCTCCCTCCCCGGCAAGCTCGGACTCTATCATCAACTACATGTCCACAGTCCAAACACCCGAACCTCTTTTCTCAAATTTCCTCCTCTCCTCAGAGAGAAGTCCCCAGGGCAGGCCTCTCACTGGTTGCTGCTCTAGCTCTTGGCACGTGTTCCACTGGGCCAGGCTCAGCAACACCACTTCAAATGTGCTCCTCACCTCTCCCTAAACGCTGAGCCTTCTGCCATCAGACCGCATCGGTCACCAGGCTTCGTCGTACGCCAGTTCTCAAGATTCCCATCACTGGGAAGCTGGATGAATTTAGCCCCTGACTCACAGCCATATCTTCTCATCACTATTCTCAGTGGTACGGGGGCACAAGCCCATAATCCTGGCACTCAGGAGGCTGAGACAGGAGGATGGCGACTTCAAGGTCAATCTGACAGACGGAGACTGTACTGAAGCAAAAGGACCTTCAGGTGGTGGAGGCACGTGCCTTTAATCCCAGCACTCAGAGGCAGGGTTGATCTCTGTAAGTTTGCAGACAGCCTGGTCTACAGAGCGAGTTCCAGGACAGCCAGGACTACACAGAGAAACTCTGCCTCAGGAAAAAAAAAATTTGCCCAGTAGCAGGTGTTAATAAAATGTTGTATCATATTTAAAAATACATATCCAATGATTAAAATGAGTGTGTATTTCTTAAAGTCAACTCTACATTCCAGTAACAGAAGCAGTTCAGTTCCCACCAAAGGACGCGCTGCCCTGCCAGCGAGATGACTCAGTGGGTAAGGGCCATGGCTGCCAAGCCTGACCATCTGAGTTCGGTTTCCAGAACCTGTGGGTAGAAGGAAAGCATCAAAGCCCCAAAGTTGTCCTCTGACCTCTGCCCTGTACACACGCATATAGAAAAGAAATAACTGCACAAATGTTAATGTCATGAGTTAAACAGATTTTGTGCACTAACGGCTGAACCCGGTCCCTCTCACGGGAGCAAGGCACCGTTAGTCTCCTCCCTCTTTGACAGAGGCAGCGCCAATGTCACCACACGCTTCCCCTCTTTTTGGGGGAGCTTATCTAAAGCAGCTAACTTTATCAAGTACCCTTTTCCTGAAGGACTGTACCAAGGAAAGAAATCTTTTTTTTTTTCCCAAGCCATTAAGATTCTGTTGGGCTCATGTCACTGGGACACTATCATGGTCCCCAGATCATGAATCAGTGAACGCGTGAGGTTAATGGGGGCTAACAAAGAACATGCTGGGGGAGTCTTTTTGCAAATACAGACAAAACCCAAACAGATAAAGTACCATGGCCATGAAAACCATTCTTCCCGGCAACAGAACAGCCTTTCATTCAAAGACAAAGTAATTTACTAAGAGCAAAAAAATTTAAAAAAATTAAAAAAAATTCAACCAGACGTGGGGAGGGCAAGGCCATGAGGGGAGACAGAGCAAGTTGGGTCCTTTGCTATATAGATGTAGAACTAGCGCAATGCTCTATAAATTCCAGCAGGCGAGGCTGAGCTGAGACTATTGCATGTGTGACTTCACTCAGTCATGCACACACCAACTGCTGTATCGCGGTGTACAAGGCACTCTGTGTAGTCCAGAAGACGGTGATGAAGAAGACACAGCTCCTGCCCTCAGGAAACTCACATCTGGAAGAAGTCTATGTGGTCCCAAAGGCATGGGCCAGTGCCAGCCCAGGAAGTGCCGTGAGGAAGAACTTTCTGGGAACTAAAATACTCTAAGAGCATGCATCTTACACCACATACAGCATCGATGGCCATGCTAAAAAACCAACTGGGTGTCCTGCTGAGGAGTGGGAGTCAGGCATTGGTAGAAAACACTTGGTTATGTGGCCTTGATACTTGAGAACCACAATGAGTGACTTCTTGTCTACACCATAGAGCAAGGAGAATTTATAGGCACCTTTCACAGCCAAGTGGGAGGATTCTAGTTTTGGAGACTAAAAACAATCCTATGTATTTCTAAATTTTAT